GACTATCAGAGTAGGGGTGCGTACGGGTAGTGTTGAGGCAGTCGTTGATCGCAAGCAGACACACAATACACTGCATTAATGGCCGTTTGACTGACCCTTCAGTTTCCTAACGTCTATAGCACTCTTAGCGCCACCTCTTGGCTATCATAAGCACTCTTTTGACCGCTTTATTCATTACATCTATTTTCAAAAGTTTCAAGTTTATCTGTTTTCAAATTGATCATGATCACTTTCAGTCACCCCAACCCCCACCCTCTGCCCCTCCCATATCGCTATAAACCACGTATTTTTTGGATTTTACATTAATTTAATTGCCATTTTAAGCACTAATTAAAACTTTATTAATAACTTTTATTTTGGATTTTTATAAAGTTATAATAATTTGTGTAACAATTAATACGCGAAACACATTTAAAAGTATAAAATCATAGGAAAAATCACAATATTTTTTGGCCGTTAAAAAGTTTGTTTCAACAAAACAAAGCTTTTATATTAATATTTGTTATATAAATAAAATCACAATAATCTCAGAGATATTTGTTATATAATACACAATAGGGCTACAGATTTGGGCATATTTTGCTGTCTTTGAAGTCAGAGCCGTCGGCAATGTCTGCCTTTTTCACCAACATATGTGTGTATTGGCCCTCCTTTTCATACGTACCCTCCGGTCCTTTCATTGATTTTCTCTGTTAAAGTATTTAATGAATTGTAATGAAATAAATTAGTTTTAATAGGTTTTACATAATTTTAACAAACAATTGGATGGTATAGTGAAAGTAGGAAATATCACAAAACTTACTTTAATGAACGAAATGACATCGTTTATATTGACTGAACTCATGGTCAGTCGACAGCCCCACGCTATCAGTGCCAACGGTCTCTCCCTATCCATCAGATTATACGGCGTTATGATATGCTTTCGGATACAACTGGTGACCAGCGCTCGTAGTCTTGAGACCATTACTTTATTAGCACAGGGATGGTATAGCATCACAATTGCCCCGTGCTATACGTGCCATATCATAGCAAAACAATATTAATATATTGATTATTGATTACTAACATTGTTTATTACGGTAATAAATATTACTAAAGTATTATATAGATAATTAAATTAGTTAAGCAGATAGTTAAGTATTAGGAAAGTAGTTTTAATACTTTTATAATTAGTCTAAAATTAGATTTGATTTTTAAATACCTCGATATTATGGAGCCATCGCTGTTTGGGAACAAATTTATATTCGCCAAACACTGGCCAAAGAGGTCTGTGGTCTCCATAAGTGGTGAGCGTCTCGTTGTACACAATTTGTTCAGCAATACAATGGTGTTGAGGCTAACGGTTTGGATATTATTATATCAATTAACAACTCATTAATAAATATAAAGTGTGTGCAAAACGGATTCATACATAATATCCATCGGGAATGGGATCGCATGTCTCGATGCTCTTGATGTGAGGCAATACTGGTAAAGGTAACTGAGGATTATAACACGTGTAGTTCACTGGCGACCCGTCCCAATCCCGGTCCAAGTTATTCTGCAATTAACCATTAATATAACAATTAAAAGCTAATTATCCAAATATAATAGGAATTTTTAAATAACATAAAATTATAAAACTATTTAACATGGAAGACAAGTTTTGGTTTAATTTTTGAGAAATAATGAGTTTAGAAAAGAAAAACAAATAGAAATATGAGATAAAAATAA